AAAAAAAAATGATAATAGAAGCAAAGAAAATTAAAAAAAAAAAAAAAAACGGAATCAATTCCAGGTGAATCACATTGGCCACGATCGACGCATGTGTTTTCTCTTCTTGTCGTATAAATGCTGGAGTGGATTAACAACCCAATCGTCCACAGATGCCTTATTCTTCTCTGGTGTTGGTGAGAGAATAGCAGGACGAGGTGAGAAGAGATCCGGAGACATGACTCCCCTGATATTACCAGTATCCCCAGGATCACTATAAACATCATCTGAAGTTGCCATCATCATTTCCAAATCCCCATTCAATGGTATTAGTTGAGTAATCTTTTCTTCTCTTTGATTTCCATCGGCGTTGGCAGTTTCGTGAATCTCTTCATTCGCAGCCGTAATAAGATCTGCAGAGAAACCATTTCTACAATCAACTTTCATTTCTTTCGTTGTAGACATCTCATTCTCAGATTTCGGTAGAGTATTTGATGTAGGGATTGTTTCCAATGTTTTATCCTCTAATGGTAATTCCGGGTCCAATGCCAATTCGAATTCTGAGTGTATTGTATGAGTAGGATCCACAGGAGATAAGAGTTTCGGTAAGAGATTAGTCACACAAGATTTTTTCCTATTACTACCCATTTCACTTGAAATACTAGTTCTGTGAGGTGCAGTTTCTTCTTTTATTTCTTCTTTTTCTTCTTTATATTTATCTTTTTCTTCTTCTTCTGTAGTGTGATTATGTGGAAGAGTGATACTGCATGCATCTCTTGACTGTTCGCCATCCATCACCTCGTCCCTATCATTATTATTATTATCTTCATCCCCATCGTATGGCTGTATTTCCACACTAGTAAGATTAAATATGGAATGCTTTACGAGTGGTAATGGTGAACCATCTACAATACCAACATCCATAGGGCTTTCATTATTCTTTTTAATAACACATGTACGCTTTTCATCTTTGAAGATATTTTCATTCTTTTCTTCTTCTTTTTCTTCTTCCTCTTCTGATTCTTCTTCTTCCTCTGATTCCTCTTCTTCTTCTTTTTCTTCTCCAAATGTGAGGCTAACTGAGGCAAGACTAATAGCCATACATTCACTTCCACCGGTTTCTACTACATCTTTTATCTCATGGCTGTCAACGATATCGTTTTCATCTTGCTTGTTGTTATCGTCAAAGGCCACCTCCACTGTATCCTTCTGTTCTTCTTCCGTAATTAAATCTGGAATACGTTGACTAGGCAATTGTGATGCTAAACTCTCAACTTGTAAAGAGCTTCTACGAGGTGTAGGCGACTCATCATTTGTATTAGAATGCACTGGAGAAGAAGTATTATTATTATTATTATTATTATTTCCATTCCGCGGTGAACTTCCACTCCCACATCCAAAAAAGAGCACTTCACCCACATCATGACGTAATGGTAATGGAGGTTCGGATGAGTTACAACCGCGAGACTCAAAAGAACTATGAGGAGATGGAATACGATGCATCTCCGCACCAGATCGAGTCGTACTATCAGAAACAGCCTTTTCAGCACTATAGCTTTCATAATCTACACTCATACATACATCTTCTTCTTTAAGAGTATTTCCTGGTTGTGGAACAAATGAAGTTTGTTCTTTTTCTCGATCTTCTGTTGGTGGAGGTGATGGTGTGGCTGTATATCGAGGTTCCTGCCAGAGTGAAGGGTGTAAATACCAATTTCGTGGAATAACCGATTCTGGAATTTCACCCACTTTTGTAGATGCAGGTGGAGGTGCCTTTGGAGGTTCCTCATCAATTAGACGATGTACATAAGATGCTAATCGTTTTGGTACAATCCTATTACACACCCTTGCTGCTCTATTACACCATTGTGGAATTCTAAGTTTTTGTGTTGTGGATAACAAATCACAGAATCTCTGGGCAAAATGATTACAATTATGATTCAGTATATGATACTCCTCACTCCTCCACTCATTCTCTAATCGATGTAGAATTGTATCCACCTGCTGTGGAGAGAGAGTAGTGGTCCCGAGAAGAAGTGTGCGGTGTAACGCGCCAGCGGCCTGTCCGGGATATACATGAAAAAGACCAGACGTGGTGGAGGGATCTATCGTTTCACCGTAGCCCCACTCATAGCCGTAGACCACAACACCGCAGTGATAGACACCCAAGCCGAGTTTACCCAATGTGCGATTGTGCTCGAGAAGACTATACACATTCAGCCGCACCGGCACCTCCACTACGCGTTGTGGAATCAACGCAGGCGGGGGGCAGCGGCGGAGAACGGAATGTGGTTCTTCCTTCTCAGATCGCTTGTCTGCCACAATTTCATCATCATTTTGGCAACAACAAATGGGCATTGCCCTCTTCTTTTTCGACTTTGGCTTCAGTTTGACCTTTTTTTTGTTTATATGGGAAAAAAAAAAAAGAATCGTTCTTTCGTTCTCTTCCTTGTTTTCTGTTAGACGGTTTCTAAATAACTATAGCAATATATGCACCTTATTACCAGGGCACACAAAGAGCAACAAACATACAAATATATATATATATATATATATATAGATGCTGGTTTGTATATGGTCACCTACAGATGCTGCCCACCAACTGGCGGGTAGCAAGTAAGCTATATGCTGTAACAATATACGCAGAGTCAGAGACAGAGAGAAAGAGAAAGAGAAAGATATATAAAAAAAGAAAAAATATTTTAAAAATACAAAAAAAAAAATGAGGTGGTGAGAGGTTATATATATTTGTTATTGTTGTATATATCTTTATGCAGAGATATACCTGCATCCACGTTATCTCGGCAAAACATATAAAGAGAAGAAAATATATCATATATATGATATATATATCAAGATGAATTGGATGTGTTTGTTGTATATACAAATTTCCGCTTAGCAAACACAATACATACACACAAATACCGAAGATCAATATCATATAATTCCACTATCATAACAACAGTTGGAATAACTATGGAAAACGAAACGAAACACCCCTCCACCCACAGAAAAAAAAAGAAAAAAAGAAAAAGAAAAAAACGACCCGCTCAATAGTAAAGAAAAATAGGAAATTAAAAGAAAATTAAAAGAAAAAAAAAAACACCCAATAAAGGTCATTTTAACACTCTACCAAATAAAGAAGAACGTCATTTTATATGAAATACCCAGTGGAAGAGGGGATGCTGCTTTTAGTTCCCTTTATCATATTTCTCGATTCCTAGTCGTCAAACGCTTCATTTTACAAAAAAAAGAAAAAAAAAAAAACACACATTTTCCTTTTTCTAGGAAGGGGTGATATCCATTTCTTCTTCCCGCTTTCCATCCATCATAACGACTAAGAAACGAAAAATAAAATAACAATACGGAAAAATAATAATAATAATAATAATAAAATAAACCTCAAATGTACCTATCAGTAGTTGATACAGAGTAGTATGACACATCCATAGATGGTGTATCCCCCCCATCGGATGTGGATGGTTTAACAAGATTCTTTGGTTGTTGGTCTCTTTGGGAAGGATTGAGGGTCTTATTTAAAATATCTTGATTTTCCTCTTGTTTTCGTTCTTTAGATTGAGAATAATGTTGTGCTTCACTTTGTCCTTCCTTGAGAGTAGCATCATGATATTTTCTTTCAAGTTCTTTATTTTCTTGCTTTAAAGTTTTAACTTGATTGGTGAGATCTGCTATCATCTCCATATATTCCATGCGTTCCCGATCAAAGGCGACATTACAGCGAACACATATACGGTATCTACTGTGGGATCCATGGCTACTACTCACAGAGTGTCCTCTTTCACTTATGCCTCCACCATTTCCAATACTGGGCGATCTTGTTCCTTTGTTACTAACGGATCGTTCTGTGCGACCAATTGAACGTAATGTGCTGCGTCCTCCGGTAGAAACTGATCGAGAGGAAACTCTTGCCATATTCCAATCCCTTCGTTTATTTGTTTGTGAATTTGGTACAGACCATATTCTATTATCTGGACGCCAATGATCCCTATCGGTTAAGGAGTTAGAGCGAACAATTGGACGACGTTTGGAAACCTTGGATTGGGGGGCGGAGCCATTTCCCACATTAGCACTAGAAGTGCGAAGAAATGAGTTGAGAGAAGAAGATTGACGAGCGGCTGCCCTACTGTCCATACTGTGAGATCGCGACAAAGATGGCATGATATTACGATTACTATTACTTCTAGTGCTACTTGAACGTTGGTAAAATGTGTAAAGCATATTTGTAGGAACACTCTCTGAGCGAGAAGCACGTGTTGGTGTTTGTGTTTGTGGTGTTCGTGCTGATATGTGCTTTGGAGTATCACCTGCATTTACTTTAACGACGCCTACTCCCTCCTTACTGATACCAAACTTCTTTGAGAGATCATCTGCGTGTCCAAATCGAAACATAACCACAGCGAGTGGTGAGGCATTGTGTGCAATACGCCATGATCCAGCACGTGTTGCCTGCACACCTCCCAAAACAGGAAGAAAAAATACCCTGCAGACGGTTGTGTGTCCATCTAACTCTTCCACTGCCTCTTCCTTTGGCTCTTGTGTATGGAATAAAGTATTCGTTCTTTTCTTTAATGTACGTTTAGAGGGTTTGCGGTAGAGGAGTGGGCGAGTGGTGGCGGTATGGTGTTCGTGCAGGCGTTGAATGGTGCGGGCCCCATACGGTGGGAGGCGGTGTTCGCCGGCGAAAACAATTCCATCAATTTCCACCACAGCCATTGCCGGCTCACTGCCACTCTCCAGCCGCAGAGAAAAGGGGCCATTTTCCAGAAAGATATGAAATCCTTCCCGTTCATCTCTTTCTTTCCCTGTTTGGGTCATTCCCTTATCCAAACGTACTACTGGACAAAAATGGGATCCTTGTTGTACCCGTACACGGAATGAATCATTCTCAGGGTCCGCAGCGTAAGTTGAGAGTATTAAAGACATATTAAAAAAAGAAAAACTCTCTGTGTCTGTATATATATATAAGAGATATATAGAATGACCAAGGAAAAAGATATAAATAAAACTGCTATTTAATGGCCGCCGACGAGTGATAGACAATGCGAGTGAAGATCTTCACGGTGGAAATATAACTGTTGCAGGAGAAGTGGTGCAAGTAATATACAGAGCCAAATTCACACTTCTACACAAGAATATCATCGCCACAGAAGTCATCATTTAAAAGCAATTTAAAAAAAAAGAAAAAAGAAAGGGGGGACACAGAAGAAATACAAGGGTTAAAAGATGTATACAATTTAAAGGAAAAAAAGAGGAAAAAAAAAGAAAAAAAAAAAAGGAGCATTAGACACCTTCACACGCATAGAAATAAGAACATAAAAATAAAACAGTGGTAACAGCAACAACAGGAAGAAGAAGAATAAATGATACTGGAAGAGAACCAAGGGGAAAAAAAAGACGAGTATATATATATATATATATATATATCCCATCAAATGCTGGCGAACACAAAGACAAATTATCAAAGAACAGAGTAACACAGAAAGACACCAAGGGACATTCTAAAAATAAAGTAACTGTAATGAGATTGAGCAGTAAAACACCGGGAAAAATGAAAAATAAACAAGTAATTGGGAACCAAGAACAAAAAAATTCAAAAAGTAAAAAAGTAAAACTACTCCTTTTTTTTTTTTGCTTCATTTCTGCTCCCATTTTTTTTTTTTTTTTCAGCTCCTTTATTACCTTCTTTCGTCCCTTTCGTGTCTGACGTTTGCATTAACGCTCGTCCACTCCATCTCTCTCTCTCCCTCTCTTTCTCTTTTGCTGAAATTCTTATTGGCTCACTTATTTCTGAAACAGATAATAAAAAGAATGAACAAACAACTACCTTTTCATACCTGATTCATCGTTACATTGCTCTCTCAGACATACAAAGACTATATCTTTCTATCTTCCTACCTCAATCTCTTTCTCCCTCATTATATATATATATATGTATATAAATATATATATAAACATATACATATATATTTTTTTTCGACTCTGTTTTCCTTCTTTTCATCTGTCTCTCTTTCTCACTCTTGTTGCTGCCTTCCTTTTCTCTTTTTTTTTCTTTTTCTTTCTTCTCTACACTCTACCATTCAGTTCCACGTCGGGGACTTCCCCTTCTCTTACCTTTCTACATTTCCCTCACCTAGTAACTCAGTGGCGATTTTCTCCGCTTCACTGGGGGAAAAAAAAAAAAGTTTCTTCGTTGTATCCCTCTTCATCTTTTTATTTTGCTCTCTTCATTTCTTCTATCCTCATTTTCAAGTTTTTTTTTTTTTCTTCTAGTTGATTTTTCTCTGGATTTTCATGTGATATCTGTTTTAATACTGATATTTGTAATGTGCTGCATTTGTAATAACAAAAAGTAAAAGAAAAACAAAAAGATATACTAAACATATCGACACACGAACACATACTAATATATATATATATATATATATATATATATATATATATATATATTCGTACAGTCCAAAGAAAAAACAAATAGTTAAAAGGAAAACATTAAGGGGTGCGAAACGCATCATTCATTCCATCCATACGCAGAGATACCCTCATGCGTACACATCATCATCATCATCATCAAAGACACAAAAAAACATAAAACGAGCAAGTGACAGAAAACAATAGATAAAGAAGAGAAAGAAAAAAAAAAAAGAGAAAGAGAGAGTGAGAGAGAGAGTAAACAACGGAAGATCTTTTTTTTTTTTATTTGCGTACCTTTAAAGAAGAGTTTAATGTACTGGAAAGTTCCTCCTCCTCACGCAACATACCAGTAATACCGTTAAGAAGCCCGAGGAGTGTCTCCACATCTTGTTTCTGGCGCACCAGAAGTGCACGTACGCGACCCACATACTCATCTACGGAGTCTGAGTCTTCAAAGGCTTGAATGGCGCGTATCTCTTCCTTAATTCCAGTCATTTTAGTATCAATATGTCGTCGATGAAATGCCACAAGTTTTTCCTCTGCCTTTGCAATTTCCTCCACGACATGGGCGTGTACTTTTCGTACTTGTTTCTCCTCACTTTTGGCGAGGGCCCCGAGGGGAGTAGAGCCCGCGCCCTCCTCCTCCTCTTCTTCCTCATCGCTGTCGTCTTCAAGCGCGGCGATGTGGTTCTGCACGATGGTGGCGATCTTTGGATCCCGCACCAACACCTCACGCCGTGCACGGCGGCCCTTTGCACCTCCTTGCGCATTCCCCGCTGGTGCACCACCGGCCGCCATTTTACCTGCGCGCGACCGCGGCGGTGCCCGCACAACTTCATTGTTGTTGTTATTAATATTATTATTATTGTTGTTGTTAGTATTGTTGCTGTTGTTGTTATGACTGTTGCTGTTGCTGTTTCCGCCTTCGTCTTCTGCGCCTGCGGCCCGCTCGCCATCGGGCACGGCGAAGCTATCGACCCACTCCGGCCGGGCCTTAATGGGCGGCGGGGCCTCGAACGGCTTGACTTTCTTCACCGGTCGCCGCTCCACCTTCTCGACGGCCACCGCCTTTGACTCCCCGCCGAGGTCCTTCACACGTTGGGTGTACCGCAGGGTGTTGAGTGTATTCACGCAGTGCGCAGAGGCGGGGGAAATAGTCGCAATCATCGTTGTGCGACTGTTGCCCACGAAGGAGTCACGCAGCACTTCGGTGAGAATGGAACCGCGGAAGGGGACATGCGATTTGCCCATTCCAAGTGCACGAATACACTCCTTTAATGCGAGGAGAGATTTATTAATCTCCGCTCCTTCCATGCGTGTTTTGCGATCACAGTCAAAGGTATCTGCACCACGTTCATTACCAGCTAAGTCAATGAATGAAATCCGACCAATCGTTCGAGCACGTCGATTTCCTGATTCTCGCACTTCCATTTGTAAAACCGCATGGGAACGACTACTTTCACTGTTTGCACTTGTTTGTCCTGCAGCACGATAGGCACTACCGCGGGAAATAATATCGAAAAGGCCTTGAATATCTGTGACTTTATGTTCACTTAATCCACAGATATTTATCACCTTATCACCATCTTCACGTGCCACTAGTCGTTCTTTGTTGTTTAGTAAATCAAAAATTTTTCGGCCGTAGATTTCATAAAATGCAATGTACACTTCAGCATTAAGAGATGCAGCACGTGAGAAAATATCTTTTGCTGCAATAGCGTAAAGACCGGCTTCGTGATCATTACCAAGCATTGTGTGTGTTTTTCCACTACCTGTCTGACCGTATGCAAAGCAGGTGGCATTACCATGGTTAAAAAGTGTGTCAATAAGCATTGAACAACAACGCTGATACACTAAAGCATTGTTAGAATTCTCATCCAGGACATGATCATACGTAAATTGATGCCGTTCCGTGTATGGTGTTAAATCATACTTTACCTTTGGTTCATTCACCACCAAGTGTGGGGATTGTGCCACCACAATGTCTTTGTCAGCATCAGCGATGGGACGCTTTCGTACGGCAACACAGATGCGACTGCTATTCATTGCGTCCCTGTAAATTTATATATACACACACACAGAGACAGAGACAGACACACACACACACACACAAATAATCACAGAGTAGGAGAAAAAAAGAAGTCTACAATATATATATGTATATATATATATATATATATATATATATATATATATATTATGCCTTCTTTAATTTGGTTCTTTCTCCTCTCCCTCTGTTAATTTTTTCCTTCTTTCAATATAAAAAAAAATCAAACGAAAAAGAATGAGTAAGCGAAAAACAAAACAAAAACAAAAAAAAAAAACACTGTTACACCTGCTATTCTTCTTCTCGCTGTTGTTGATCTACAGGTGAAGTTGCAGAGTGCGAAATACGCTACCGGGCCTCTGAGTGACGACGGCAACTCTGAGCTTCTATGAGCTATTCTAGTTATCAATAAGAAACACACAAGGAATGAGTGAAACTAAAAAAAAAAACTATAAATAATTAAAAATACAAAAAAAAAAGAAAATTGGGAGAAGAAAAGCTGATTAAAGTACATTAACGTAGAAGGGGGAAAAAAACGAGAACATTAGTATATATATATATCGAAGGTAAAATAAAACACACATACACAGACACAGAAAGAAACATATGCATGCGTGTATCCATGTACAATTATTTTTATCTTGTAACAAATGTACTTATAACTATCCATACACATGCTTTTGGGTGTTTGTAATCTTGCGAAAAATAAAACAAATAAAATCATCCCCACGCTATCATATTATACCCATAAGAGACACAATACACACACACACACAGAGAGAGAAAACACTTATTATGGAGACTTAACTGTGTAGCGGTTTAGAGTACTCAAGGTATACTCCTTTGCGGCAAAACAAGCGGCGTTAGCTGGGAAAGCACGCAGGAGTGCTGGGCCGATACCTCTATAAAATCCTTTTAAACCACTTTCCTTAAACACAGCCCGAACTGCACTAGCGGGAGTAAGTCCCTCATGACTTGCCTGTACCCGTGTTTTAATAACATCCAGTGGAATAGCAAAAGACCACATTCCCAGACCACCCATTCCTCCTGCAAATAATGCCTCTGGAACCGTTGGGGCTTTAGGGTTAGCGCAAATCTTCATCTTTGTATATTCATAAGCACCAAACCATGCCATACTTCCTGGTACATCCCGCAGCATTGTGGCTCCTGTTCCACGAAAGAATCCCCGAAACCCTTCATTTCTGTAAATATACGAGACAACACCTCGCAGTGAACTATCACGTCCTGAGTTCAGTGCTGTTTGTTGACGAATTTTAAGTAATTCTGCCGGTCCGAGAACAAGTGAGCCGAGAATACCTGTACTTCCACCGCAAATCATAACTTCCGTCATTGTTAGTGGTGTATTGGGGTCCGTCTGACGAATATTACGCAACACTTTCTCTGTAGTGTCGTAGGCGAGAAAGTATAATGCGAAGACAACACCGACGCCACTCATTGGAGCCAATACGCCTTTATATAAAGCCAGCGGCCCATCACGCCGAACCACTCGCGTCGCACACGCTATAGCTCCGCCGGATTCGCCTTTTCCGTCTTGCATGAGTGTCTTCACAGTGTCAAAGGGATGACCCACGAGGAGATTCCCAACACCTCCCACCCAACCAGCAATAAAGCTGTTCACCAAATCCATTTTTCTCTCTCTCACACACACAGAGATAGATAGATAGATAGATAGATAGATAGATAGATTCAAAGAGAGAGAGAGAGATATAGAGAAGATTATATAGACGTTCACGTTAATTCACAATTAATTCGTACCTATAGTTATGACTTCTTCTACTGCTACTACTAATAGAGGCAACAAAGCAATGTCTGAGGGTGATCCTCAAATTACCTAAAGAAATAAACACTATTTCACATACACACACACATCCATGAAATTGAAGAAAAAGAAAAGAAAAATAAATGAGAAAAATAAAGCATTAGACCAATCATTTTAAGTAAAATGTTACCCAAAAGCTTAGGTGGGGTACGTGTAATAAACACGAAGAAAAAAAAGAAAGAAAATTAGTCCATGAACCACAAAAGGTTCAATCAACGCCTGCTTTCCTAACTGTACCCTCAACAAAACAAAAAAAAAAAAAAAACATCAACATCATCTAATGTTTCTTTGAAACCTTTTTCTTTCTCTTTTTTTTTTCCATTCTTGAAATTCCGTTCTTCATTGGTCTACCTTCAACCCTACTTTGGTTCTACTTTCACACATAAAAATAATAATGAAAAAAAAAAAGAGTACACTATTCATTTCCTAATTTCAGTTTCTCGGACAGTGCAGAATGATGTATGGGTACAAAATCATTGTTGCTATCATTTCTCTTTTTCTTCTTTTTTCCTTCGTCCTCTTTTTTCCATTTGTAATTTTTTTTTTTTCTCCCTCCCCCATTTCCCTCCTTTCACTCACAAGGCCACGGAAATTAGAAAAGATCCTAAAAATAAATCGCTACACGCGGCTCTGCAGCGGCGATAACCGATATAACCCCTAATGATGGTGCTGCAGAAATAGAAAAACAAAACAAAACAAAATAAAAAAAAAACACACATCAAATGAAGATGCAGACACAACAATTATTTTTTTTTTTATTTTTTCACGACTCTCACCATCACTCTTGTTCGTTTCTCCCCACAACCCCCCTTTACCTCCGTCGCTGAATCACCGCTAAAATTACCTTTCCTAAAGAGCTCCCATTTACTGCTAACTCATTCTCTAAGAGAAGAGCATCAGGAAGGCCAACATGAGGGCAAACAGACCAATAGCCTCTGTAAGCGCGAAACCAAGAATGGCGTAGTTAAACAGCATCTTTGTCAGGTTTGGCTGGCGGGCGCAGGCGACGAGGAGATTGCCAAAGATGGTGCCGATGCCCAGACCCACACCGGCGAGGGCAATAGCCGCCAGTCCGGTGCCGACGTAGTGAAGTCCCTGAACGGAGATGGCCACCGTAGAGGCCCGGCGCACCGCCAACGCGGAGGAGACCGCAGTGGGTTTCATCACACGACGCACAGCGGCGGGTTGGGCAATCATCAAACGGCGCATCATTTTTACTGTTTGTATATAAATGTGTTTATGTGTAAAGTTTGATTATATTTACTATTTTTTTTTTTCTTCTTGTACGTATACACTTATAAGAATATGTTTCTTTACGTGTAAATGTTTCTATTCACCTAAGTAGCTATTGCTATTGCAGAACCTATATAAAGAATGAGAAAAAAAAAGAAAAGATTGCAATGATAATGAAAGACTGTGAAAACTTCCCCATGTGAAGATCCATTGAAAAACCAGAGAAAAACTAAAAATATTTTTATTTATACACGTATTACATTTCATGTTTTTTTTTTTTTCATTGCCTTTTCTTTCTTATCATTTCTCTTTTTTTTTATTCCTCAGAAAGCACTCTCAGTGCTATTACACACATAGATACAAAGGAAAAAAAAAAGATCTATGTATATATTTGTGTAGGCGTGTGTGGTTACACACTAAGAAGTGTGTATTCATATTATCACATTAGCCATTTTCATCCTGTTTACGTTTCGTATATATATGTATATATATGTAAATATATATATGTATACATATATATTTTTTTTTCTTAAAAGTGATTACAATATCATGATCATCAACAACAAGAACAACAACAACCGTTCCTTTTCAATTTTTTTTTTCTTTTCATTAATAAACGAAGAAAGACAAAAAAAAAAAAAAACACAATCAACAAGAGAAACCAATCATAAAAGAAGAAAAAAAAAATGGGGAAATGTGTTTCTTAATGAGAGAGTGTAAATGAAGTGAAACTTCGGTTTCATTCATTTACTCTGGGCGACGCTGCCGCCTACCGCGACTGTCAAATGCAACATCTGCCTTTTGAAACCGGTTCTCACCTGTATACTCCTCACGTTTTACCCGCACACGTTTAACGCGACCACGATCCATTTCTCTTTCCCACATTTCATCACGCACACGTTGGCGGAACTTCCGCGCATGGCACGGACGAGCAACAGTAGCGGGTACGGACTCATTTCTTATTCTTTCCACCTCTGTTACTACTTGTTTCCCCACAACTGCTTCCCCAACATCTGAGGAATTTGTTGCTACTTGTGCTGTTTCTGTTGGTGTGGTGCGTCGAATAGTGCGTATGATACCATGGTACATGGGATGTATCTTCCCATTAAGAGATTTGTTTACCACTTTATCATTAGATGCATCAATTGGGGAGAGGGGATCATTGTTATGGTGGCCATTCTGTTGAGGTTCGCTTGCATGTCCAGTTGTATCTTCTTCATCTTTATTTTCTTCTTTTTTACCATTAGAATGATACCCATTTGAACATCCCTGCTGTATATCATGATTCTTATCACCATTACAAACACCACTACCCCTTTCTCCATTACTACTTTTACCATTTGTTGCTTGTACAATGTTATGTTTCTGAGCCTGTTTTTCCTTCATAATTCTCTTCACTTCTTCATCTGTTAAAACTCGACCCACATCTTTTTCTTCTGTTACTGGCATAGCAGATGATACGAGTACCTTTTTCGTATGGTTTGATGCTGTTGGTCCAGACATTGTGCGTGGAGAAGCACTCTGTTGTGGTTCTAACTTAGAATAAAAGAGCATATACGCTTGTTGTCGTAGTGCCACCTCCTCATTACAATGGGAAGTACGTTCATCATTACACATTAACCACGTCCCATTGCGAGCACGTACGACACTGTAGTAATGACCATGATTAAGTGAATTTCCCTCATGAATACATACAGCGTTTAGTTCATATAGGCATGAAGATTTATCCGTATCAAGAGTACGTTTACGTTGACCCATAGTGTATGACATTCCTTCTTCTGTACAGAAAGGTGAAAGATCAAGTAACTTTGGATATTGTATAAATTTAGTTATCTTTCCACCCATACAGTTGAATCGTTTTAAATGTATAATAAGAACATTTGGAAGTTTGTGAATTTTAAAATGTTTCGTCGCATGTACACCAACACCACGTGGACTAATATAAACACGTCCATCTAATGTTTCCTTTTCACAAAGTTTTGTTAAACAATGAGCCAAAGTGTGTCCCACCACTTCTACACTAAGAGTAACAAAAGGATCATACGTTTTTGACTCTAGTACATCATTACTAGTTGTTGTTGCTTTAATACCGTTGTGGTTCATACTATTTCCATTTCTAGCATGTTTTTGTTGTTGTTGTTGATGATGATGTTGACAGCTTATCTGAAGATCCGCCGCTTCCTGCACTTTACCCACTTTCCGAAGGCGTTGAATTTCCTCATCTCGACTCCAAGCCACAAGTGAACGAAGATAACCGCCAATAATACGCTGAAGTGCACTTGTATGTTCAATACGTGGAGGAACTTTCTTTGAGCCAACTTGACGAAATAAAATAGATCGATGGGATGAGTGCAGTAAGTGTACTAAAAACTCATGGGCGTCGCACTGGCGTCCAAGTCTAAAGTGAGGGGAAAGAGACTTGAGATTGGAAATGATAAGCGCTGGGCGATACGCCCCATGAGAGGCGGTGTGGATCTTTCGTATAGTTTCACCCAACGCAAAGGCGTAATCATAAGGGGCCCCAACAGAATGCGAACAGGCCGCTTTAAATGTTCCTGCAAAGTATTGCGCAAGGGCCGGTGTGTAGGCAATTGCCTGAAGAACACTATTCGCAAAACACGTATTGCCCAAATTCTGCAATCCACATCCTGCTGGACCAATTCGCTGCCAACGCAAATGTAGCAACTGACGCAATTGTTCATTTCGACATAGCATCATATTCTCCTCAAGATTTAATGGATCATCATCATCAAAGGTATCATTCCCCGATTCCTCCTCCTCTTCTTCTTCTTCTTCTTCTTCCTCTTCTTCACTGTTACTGCTGCATTCATCATCATTGTTATTATTGTTATTATTATTATTACCATTCTTTCCATTGTGGAGGCCTGCATGTTGTCGCACCTCTCGCGTGTGATGTGGGTTCAACACAACCGCATGTCTTGGGTAACTAACAACAGACGGCTTGCGATACAACTCGAACTGCACCGCCCGGAAAATGACATCGCGTCCTACAAATCCATTAGGGCCATCAAACAAACTCATTTCAACCCACCCACCGCCAATTTAGCCTTTTTTTTTTGTTTTTTTTTTTTTTGGGGGTGTGTGTGTGTGTGTGTGAAAGGGAAAGAGGAATAAAGAAAGTAAAAGCGAAAGAGATAATAGAATTAATAAAAATGGAGAGAGAAAGAGAAAGAGAGAGGAAAAGAACAAAAAATGCCTCTATTCATACCCGGGAAAACCCCCCTCATATCAAGAGGTTAAAAAAAAAAAAGAAAAAAAAAATTGGTTCTCTCCACAGATGTATACAACTCATAGAGGCAGTTTACCTCTTACCTTTGATAGTAATATTTGTCATCATCATTATAAATACCATCGATTGTAGTGTACAAACACAGAAACAAAGAAACAACGAGAAAGAGAAAGATAGACAACAACAATGATAATAAGAATATTCCGCCACTTTACACATAAATATATGGAACTCTCTTTCTCTCTCTCTATTTTAATCTCGCTATACCAAACATGCTTTAATCGAGAAGGGAATTAAATGGAGAGGAATAACTTCCTGTTGTTGATGACACTAACGCCGGGCACTCTAATGCTGTCTGCTCACACTTTAGTTTCACACACAGCTGTTGTAAATCCTCCAGCACCACCGACTCTGTTGGACGAGAAACAAACATACGTGAAAGTAATAATTTCACATCTTCACTATATTCTCCTGTCATTCCTTTAACTCGTAGAGAAGGTACTTGTTTTAACTCAATTCGTTCAATTAACTCATCTCTTTTTAAATACCGCCAGGCCACAGCACCATCTAAAAGAAAATACAACATTTGAGCCTCAAACCACATATCACTACTTCCATCACACAATTTCCCACGATTAACAAGGCGAGGTATTTCCAAGTTCCACGCATTGCTATTGCGCAATTGCCCACAACTTTCATATCCCTCGTAGGTATTAAAAAACATACAGTTCGATCGTCCACGACAGTAAAAACAGCGACAATGAGTTGTATAATTACTATAAGGATAAGAAGCATTAACAATTGATTGTGCTTTTCCCAATTGAAGTGTATCAATATCAATAAGACGTACAGAAAAATATCCTTTATTCTCTTCTTTAATTAAAAATTGTCCAGGGTGATAATCATCATAAACAAAGAACCCATTAGGATGTTGTGTATGCAAGAATTGAAATATACAAAGAATCTGAATAGCAATTTCTGTTCGTTGACGTAATGTCATTAGTGGAGCATGTTTTCTCGATTGTAAAGTAGATTCAAGTGATTTAAAACCTTGAAGAAATAATTGAATTTGAAAAATTGCACTATATGTATTGGAATAGCAACTCAATATAGGATAATGTATTAATGGACTCCGTCTCTTATCTTCACGCATAAAAGCATTAAACCCTTCAAAAGATAAATATTGATGAGGATGCATTACTTTTACCACAACATCTTCTTCTCTCCATATACCTCGCATAATAGCAGTCTTTGTACCAAACTTCAAAATACGTGTGAGTATGAATGGATCTGAAAAATGTTCACAAAGAAGAGGTAGAGGTGTTGTTCTTATAGATGCTAAAGGGTTAACATCATCATACCAATAAGAAAATGATATTTGAGTTGAAGACGTTGTCATTAGTAAAGTGTCAGGACACTGTATACGAATTACAAATGGGGAAGTAGCAAGAACCCCATCTTCCCATTCATAATCTACACTTCCTATAAGAGGAATATATGTACATTCTTTTTCTGTTAAATGTTGAATTATAGTAGTCATCATTTCTTTATTATGTGGGGCTTTGATCATATCACTAAAGAGTAAATACGTTATTTTAGCTCCACTAATTACAGTAGTGAGTACTTTTGTTAAGAAAGAATATGTATCACGCATGATATAGTTGGTACTCACAATCTGTATATCACTAAACTCAACACTAAAAGCATGAGAAACATTTAAGCTCTTATTTAATATGTTTTCACACATTTTTCTATCTGCCATTATAGATGTCTCACGAATATCATCAAGTGATGGAATTTTCTTTCCATTTACATTTACATATTTTCCCATTTTTTTAATTTGTTTAGGAAGTTTTTCAATAATACTCATATTTGACCCTAAAAGGAAATACGCTGTTTGATTAGGTGAAACTTCTATATCCGAATCCTTCCTCATACGTTGACAAACCACTTCTGTTGGTAATAATAATTTCACCTTTCTCTCTTCATCTCTTTGTATAAATCCACTGTAAACACTACGAAGTGTGGAAGCACAATTCTCAATACTTTCTGCAGAAATAAGTGCACATCGCATAATGAATGGATTAACCGTATCTTTCACCGATCTAAACAAGACATTCCCCTCTTGCTCGAGATCAGAGACCACAAGGCCAAGTGCTAATTTCACAAATTCCTCACCTGTTCGCACTACCACTCGCGGTAATGTATCCACCACAAGTTTCGCTTCTCCATTCCAATTAAATTGCCCTTTAGATGATGATGATAATAAAGGTGAAGTTACCCGCGGTAGTCGCCATAGAAAGAACAAGAGAACGAGTAGAAGAAACACAAGAATGCGAATTGTCTGTGAACGGCGTACAATTCTCCTCCTACGCATCCCATACACTCTGTATCCCCTTTTATGCAAGGATTCCAAGTTTATGTATACATATATAAATATATACGTTTTTTTTTTTTTTAGTTTAAGAGAGAAAAAAAAAAAAGAAAAAGAACACAAAGCGTGAAGGGGAGATGGGTAAAAAGATAAAAAAAAGAAAGAAAGAATAGCAATATGTATACATATGTTTTATTTTTCATATACAAATAAAAACAACAGAGATAGAAGTTATATATTGATAGTGGAAGTGGGAACGATAAAGCAAAAATTTTAGCGGTAAGTGTGAATACACCAGAGACAGAAATAGTGCAAAAGAAGAAGATAAAACAAGAAAAGAAACAGTCAAACTCCAAAACAAACAAAAAAAAAAACTATTGTGATGGAGGCTGCTCATCTTCACATTGTCTCGGCCGCTTTTCCGCACATCCACCAATAACGAATAAAGTCCGTTGAGCTTTATATCGACGTAATTCTTCACTACGTGATACAAGTGGTATTCGTGATGTTTCCTCATGATTATTAATGTTAACAACAGGGACTGTATTTACAACACTTGTCTTTGTAGAGGAAGGATGATTCACTATGGATAGTTGTGCAGGAGTGTGAGAAACAGTAGATGGAGAGATTTGATTAAGTGTATTCGTCGCAATGGATATACGAAAATTGCCTGATGTTCGTCCAGATGGATTTGTCAAAACTGAAGAAGGTGTTGTTGAACTATTATTATTCTTCACTTCATTTACTTTCACCTCTTGTAAAGAAGGCGAAGTACCAGAATTACTACCACTAATAGTAGTAGTAGTAGTAGTAGTAGTAGTAGTAGTAGTAGTATTAGTAAAAAGTTTAATTTCAGCACATTTCGGAGTTAAAGAAACTGGCAAAGAAGCCCGTTTTGCCTCACGCATCTGACGTAGTTTTGTAATATCAAGAAGAGGGGAATGATCTGCTTTTCCTGATGTTTCTTCCATTGTTGTTGTTGTTGTTTGACTCTTGCAGGGTGTCTTCTGTACTTCATGTCCCTGTGGAAGTTCACTATTATAATTATAATTATTATTATTATTATTATTATTATTATTATTATTATTATTATTATTATTATTATTATCGTTGTTCTTGACAGTTTCACAAACGGATCCTCCATTTTCACTATTCTGTGTTGGTGGTCGTGAGCGTGAACCGGAGTTGCTTAGAAACCCATCAAGAGTTGTTTGTTTCTTTTCTTGTGAAGATGGTGTAAGCGGAATATCTGAGCGTTGAATACGATGAGTGTCCACACCAGATCTCAATCCTTCGCCTCCAGTTGTGATATCTTCCAGTACGGCATGAGTAACCGTGAGTTTAGTTTGCAGCATAGGCCAAATCACACTATCGGAAGTTCCCTCAGCAAGAAGATATTTAATTACACAAGCAGAAGATTGACCCATACGATGAACACGATCTTCACACTGCATATGTGTACCTGGATTCCAATCGAGTTCCGCAAATACAACCATTGTAGCACATGTAAGATTGTGTCCAACTCCACAAGTGTGCATGGAAAGAATAGCAACATGACAATTAGGTGAAGAACGAAAGTGTGTAGTGAGAGTTTCCCGTTGTGTGGCTGGTGTATCGCCTGTAATGTAAATGTAATCTAATGGTTGCTTTGGTTGTACACTCTCTACCGCCTCACGTATAGCTTCCATCATACATTGATGATGTGCAAAGACAATCATTTTTTGACGAGATTCCACCATTTGTTCAGCTGTACTTTTCACATAATCCTGAACAGCGGGAATCTTTGCCCGGGCTGTGGCTCTCTTAAGATCAAAGGTCACTGCTCCTCTAGAGATTGCAGATGATATACCGGTAGATGGAGAAGGAGAAGAAGCTGAAGATGATAATGATGAGAGATTTTCCCTCATGGAATCACGAAGAGCAGAAACACTCTTCTCTAATGCCTTCTTTTCCTTTGGGGTAACATAAACATAAAGTAATTGTCTACTCTTTGATGGAAGTTCATCCCCTAATTCTCGTTTCGTTCGACGAATAACGAATTGTTGTAGTAAAACATGAAGTTCACTCATATTAGAGTGACCAGTATAATCAACACCAAAACGTCCTACAAAGGCATTACAATATCTCGCACCAAATTGTGTTTTTGTAGGAATCCACGTTGGATGCATTATAGCTTGTAATTGTGGATATAATTCAATAGGTCTTGACAAGGTTGGAGTTCCTGAAAGAAGTAAAACTCTACTAGCAGCACGACATAGTTTAAGAGCCGCCATTGTTCTTTTAGAATCAACCGATTTAATATAATGAGATTCATCCAGAATCACTACTTTAAACGTTAACTCAATGGAATCTAAACATTTAAGAGAAGAATATGGGACAATAACAACACTATGCACATCTTCTACATGAGTTTTACTGGTTTGAAGAATAGCTATTCGTCCAGCAGGAATACCACAAAACCGTGTAAACTCCTTCCCCCAATTTTCTACAAGTGAAAGTGGACATATTATGAGTACAGGCCATTCATCACGGTAATGATGAGCCACAGCAATCGCTTGAATCGTTTTACCAAGACCCATATCATCTGCAATCATACCACGTCCACCACGAGAAATAATAAACTCTACACCTCGTTTTTGAAACGATCGTAATTGTGAATACACTACATCTTCCTCATCTGCATTCTGAGAGGCATTACCATCAACGTTTCGTTCATGTTGTATTCGTACCTCTTCAGCAGCATTCAAACAACGAAAGAAAAACGGTGGTATCTCTTCCACCATTACACGTATGGTAGTTATGGTTGTTGCTAACCGTTTAAGAGCTACAACGAGTGCATGATAAGATTCCATCGGATATAAATAGGCCTCTTTCGTCACATACCATAATGGATGAAATTGTGGATCCTCCAAAACACTACACACAACTTCACAATCTGGTTTAGACACCGTCGCAGTTACATGTGTGGTCTTGTGCTCAGGATGTAAAGCCGCCTCAAAGCGCACCATCACAGAATTATCGGTTTGGCCAAGATGCGGTACGACTCTGCGGTATCCTTCTGCCTGCACAGGTGCTAATGCAAAGAAACGACATCTACTTAAGGCACACGTATAACTAGGTCCACCTGTTTTACTTACTACGCATTTTACTGGCGATCCACAGTAGCAATTCATAATATATAAACAGGTATATATAGATATAAATATATATAGATAGAGATAGAGATAGAGAGGGGGTGGGTTGGGGAGGGTGGAGTTGATGTCGTTTCTACTCCCCAACGAGTCTCTATGAAGGGTCTTTCACTACACACAGAGAGGAAAAACCAGATATTCGCACGACGCTTACAAAGACATATAATCGAGACATTAAAAACAAGAACAAAAAAAAGGAGGAAAAGAGATAAACTATTAAAGTTAAACAAATGAAGCAGAACCAGAAAATTAAAATAGGGAACCAACACAATTACATAAAAAAATGAGAAAATAGAATGCATCAATATTAGCATTCTCTGTTCTCTCAGTCTTAATACTTCTTAGTTGTTGATATTTTTTTTTTCTCTCGCCTTGTATGTTTAGAATGTGACTATTAAACGTTTGATCACTCTTTTTTTTTTTCATTCTCTCATTCTTCTCTTCTCTCATCCTTTTTTTTTCTTTTTTTTTTTTCTTCTTCTTCTTTCTTTTTTTTTTTCCTCTTCACTTAAAATGATTTGAGGAATTTTATTTCCATTCCTCTCATCGTCGTCTCGTCTTTGTTGCCGGGCGGCCTAAACTTTGTCCTGCTCGCCTTTTTCGTTGTTGTTGTGGTGGTGGTGGTCTTGATGAGTGTTGAGTTCTCTTTTGCATTTCCTGCAGAATATCATCTACGGCCTCCAGTACTACTTTCGTTGTCACCCGGTTTACAGAAAATACACTACGCATATGTTCCAATTGTTGTTGAACTTGTAAAGCCTGAAGAGGTGAAATAAGAGTAAGAGGACAGAGTTTACGCAGAAGACGAATTACCTCCATAAAGAGTGGCTCACCATACAAATGTACAGATGATCCATATTCCATTGTAAGTTGATTGGCAAAACCAAGAAGCCATGATAATATGTGTCCCTCTTCCATAGACTGTCGAGCCACAGCAGCTGAAGTGGTACAGACATGATGTATACAATGTAGAAACTTTAAACGTATTTCATCTGAAGCAGCAAGCATAGATGTGATCATCATCATTGAATGTAGAGATTCTGAATGAATAAGAGCCATCATATCACCATTTGTATGACAGGCATGTTGAATTAATTGAATAATAAAATTCAAATGTAAAGGTGCTTCAGAGCGTAATTGTCGAATGACTTCTTCTGCAGAAGAAGCAGCAATTGTACTCTTTTCTTTAATTTGTGTCGTTTCATGACGTCTAATCATTAAAGGAGTTGTAATACATGCGAGAGGAAATGAAACGAGGAAACGATGAAGTGGAACAGGATTTGATAGAGCCTCCTGAGTTTCTAATAAGAATCGCATAATATCATTATGAAGCGGATAGTTGACATCTCCGAGAGGTCGTAATGCCATTACCAGAAAAGCAGAGAGAGGCGCAGGAAGTCTTGGACAATTCCATAAAGATTCCTTTTCTTTCTCTTCTCGTTGTTGTTGCTGTTGTTGCGATGATGGACGCATCTTCTTTGTAGCCAATTGTGTGAGTTTTAATCGAGCAAATCCCACTACAATGCGAGTTGGTCCACTTGGTGTCCACACAGCGGCAAGGGCTGCGGCTCCTAACCGGCGTATATGTGGATCCGTAAAGGAAAGTGAACGAAGTAGCACTGGTATACACTTTGTACCAATATTACGGCGAGATAACTGCTCTGCTGGCATGGCTAGTACAGTATGCAGTAACGGTACTAAATAACGTGGATCCATGATACTTTCTCTAGTGAGGGCATCAAAGGAAGCCAAAGAGATATCATCATGTGTAGAAAATTCTGGAAATATACTTCGTAATATATCCCAACCAGCATGATCCTTTCCACTTATTAAGATGGTATTATTTAATCGTGCAGGAGATTGTAATGCTGTTGCTGTCACTTCTTCATCTGTCCATGTATCCACAAGTAATGAGAGCATATCCACCTCCGGGACAACATTAGGCGTACATTGATGATTCATGATAAGAAAACGGTGATCCATAATAGAAGATGGAACCAATACACCACTGAAGACTCGCATAATGCTCTGTTTACGTAACTCTCCCTTTTCATTATCAGATTCTTCCTTTTCTTTTCCTTCATCTTCCTTTTCACTACTATCAATATCATCTACACCTTCTGCAAGAGTTAACGGTTCTCCATTCTTATTAGATTTTTCTTGTAGTTCTTCTTCTTCTTCTTGTTGTTGTTGTTGTTGTTGTTGTTGTTGTTGTTTTTCTTCTTGATGTTTCTCTTGTTTTAGATAAGACATAGTCAATAATGTAGCATACCGTATTCGATCTGTCGTAGAGACAGATCCTGTATACGTACAAAGAAGAATCTCTGAAATGGCCTTGAGGTTTTTATCCTCTAAAATTGTTTGATGATTCTTTTTCTTCTTTACGGTGAAAAGTCGGTCTCGTTCTTGAAGCAGAACCCGCATTGCACTCAAAATACATAAAAGAAATCCAAGAGTATTCCCTTCATTTTGTTTACTCTCAAGAAGGACTTGAGTAACAGCATTTGCATCCTCAGCAATATGTTTTAGTAACGACTGACTAAAAACAAGAATACCACCACATGTCCCTTCCTCTACGGTTTCTTTATCTTGATTCGTATTGAGATTACCTTCTTCACTCTTAAGACCCCGCAAAATAAATCCTGCGAGTTCCCATCCTAATGTAGGATATCTACACCACAAAGAGGGAGAACAATCTTTACTAAAACGCTGCAGTAAATCTCCTATAGCATTGTTTCGAACCATTGTAAGTAATTCCAATTCTTCTTCAAGATCCGCTGCTGGAGTTGGAGGGTGTAGAGATTTGCAGAATTCAAGTACTTGATCGTGAAGAGGCCGTAAAGCACGGTGTTCTTTCTCTGCCTGCAATAATGTTAGGGCAATTTGACGTTTACCAGAATGAGTGTTGATGGTATTAAAAACAACTGGAAGTTTTTCCCGTATGTACTCACTACGACGCGACCATTCACGTGCCACCTTTTCCGTTACAGATTTAAAAGAAGATATATTTTCACGCAAATCATCATTCCATAATTCATTTCCAATTTCTTTAGATTCATCTTTATTTAAACGTTTATTATGACTTTGTTTTTGCTGCTGCTGCTGCTGATGTTGTTGTTGTTGTTGTTTTTTATTTCCCATTTCTCCTTCTCGTGTTGCGGTCATGTTATTTTCATTCACCCCATGTTTTTCCTCACCTCTAGATACGAAGGCTCGAGCTGCACACACAATAACACCTGTTTCTCCATGCATGAGTTCCTGGGCGATGCGATCGGCAGATTTAGATAAACTTCTCTGTAATAAATAATTGATGAGATGCACAAAACAGGGAAGTGTGGATTCATCAAGATAAGAAAGCCAAAGAAAAGTTTCTTCCAATTCACATACAAATCGTACCGTTACACTATGAACAACCCATTGGACCAATCGTGCCACCCATGCTAATGCCATTTGAGATTCCTCATCTCTTACATCACGATGTTTTACAGCCCAAAGCATTAAACTAAGCATCAACGGCCACTCCAAGACACTCTTTTTAGGACTACTCATCGTAATATGATGTAGTTTCGTCATAGAAACACCATTTGAAAGAGCAGAAACCAGAAGTGAACAGAGAGCAGAAACACTGGATGCTGGCCACAACGTTAGAACACCTTCACCTCGACGAAGGGCATCTTCAATTGGACGTGCACAAGCGCGAAAAGTAGGAAGAAACGAAGGAACTGCACTAAGCCAAGACATACGAAGATTAAAAACATCAGAATATAATTCCATTAAAAGGAACATACGTTGTGAAATAAAAATAATTTTATCTGATGGTTTCTCACTGTTTTTTTCATTTATTTTAGATGATGATGTCAAAAGAGGATGAAGCTGTTGTGTCATACGGTGCCAGAACTCTTCACGACGTGGAACAGCTTTTAAAAGAGATGCCTGTACCTTAGCATTAAACGTTTCCCAATCTTCTTGAAAATTTTCATTCTTATCTTGCCCAAAATGATTATTTTGTATTTTTAACACAAGTTGTTGAATAGTTTTGGCTCGTGTAAGGATTGCATGCGTTAACTGAATAGCAAAAGAAAGCATCAAAAGATCACTAGATCCTATAATAAGACGATGCACATACTCCGCCACCCACGCTGGACACACTTCATCAGCCACATGATCGGCACTCATATTGAAAAAAGTTACCGCCTTTACTTCAACTAGTTGAAGTATTGCTTTACCTGCTGCCAAATGATATGGAATTGGTGCTAACATGGCACGGGTCATTAAGTTTAATGTAGCTACTGCTGCAGTTGAAGCAGATATACGTGAACTATTTCCATCATCACTAAGATGACCAGAAACACGTGTAAAATATGGACGAATTAAATCTGGAGCTTGATGTAAAATAAAAGTAACCAGTCGTGCTGATGCTGGAGAACTCTTTGGTCTCAACTGTCTTAAAATAAAGAAAAGTAAATAATTTGGCATTCCTCTATCCTCTGCATCTAGACGCATCACCTGATAGTCTGAAGGTGATTCTACAAGTTCCACCACCATACGGTATAAAATATTTGAAGCGTATTCTGACACCAGCGGATGATCAATAGCTTTAACAAGCAAACGGATAATATGTTTCTGTGACAAAAGCACAGACCGCTTCTGTGAAGAAGGTATACGACTTCCCATAAAATGTTCACCAAACACGCGTAAAGCAGATTGGGCAACTTTTACACCTGCTTCTGTACCTTCTTGCAACAGTTCTGCTGCATCTTCAAGAAGATGCGTAAGGTAACCATGTGCACAGACCACAATTTCCACCGCATTCGCCTGCGGTGATGTCACAAGATTAATCAGAAATTCTGTTCGTGCCAATCTAACACGACGCTGCGAATAAGGTAACTGTAGACGAAAGCATGATAAATGCAACGGAACAGTATTCTCAAAACGGGAAAGAATAACCTTGGGGATATACTTCGCCACTACTGCAAGAAACTGAAGAGCAGCCATTGTGGTTAACAAAGTTGAATCAGATAGGGTATCCAAAGCCTTACGTAGAACCCAAAAATTCTTCCCACGACACATGGCACGAAGTACATTCGAACGCACCCCAACATTATCACATGCTTCAACAACCTGTGTTAATGTCTGCAATGCAGGGCCGCACAATTCACGTCTCTGTAACAATTCTTGCAGAGCAACAAAACTCTGTGTATTTAGCATAAACTCTACTGCGAAAGAACTGTCTGCTAATACACAAGCACGAATTTTTTCAAGCCCTTCAGTGACAGTGTCTGCATACCTTGACAAAAGATGACCCACCAAAGGCTCCACCAAAGCCATATTGCCCAACTCAAAGAACTGAAATCAACAAGTAAAACACTGCCAGCAAACCAACAACAACAAAAACAAAGAAACACTATAAATACAAAAAGAAGCAAAAAAAAAGAAAAAATTATACATAACAACAGAAAAAAGAAAAAAAAAATAAAAATAAACAAATTATTTTAACAAACACCACTTCTAACACAAAAAAAAACCAACAAAACACACCGCTTCAAAGAAAAAAAAAATAATATATCTTTATACTTTCCATACTCGGAAAGTTCCAGACAGAGTTCCCTACCGCTTCGTCTTCCATGTCCTCTGGTTTAACAAGGGGAAGGACAAATTTCTTTTTTGACGGGGTCCTATGCTCTCCAGCCAGGTGACGGCTGGTGGAAAGCACAAGATT